CTGCTAATCAGCTAATTAATTTATTTAAACGCGCTCAATTCGATTTGGTTAAATGGACTAGTAATTCCGCCACAGTCTTAAGTACACTGCCTTCGTCACATAAGGCAACCGAACCAATAGAATTTGATAGAACCGCACAGCTTAAAATTTTAGGTTTGAGTTGGTCTAAATCTCATGATTGTTTTGAATTTAAAATTACCGCGCCTGACAATAAATGTTCGAAACGGGTTATTCTAGCCACTGTAGCTAAAATATGGGACATAATGGGTTTCGTAGCACCTGTTGTGCTCTTCGCTAAACTGCTCATCAAGATCTGTGGATGTTGAAAATTGATTGGGACGAATGCCCGCCGCAACATATTGTCGAGATTTGGAGGAGGTTTACCACTGAGTTACCGCTACTTAATGACATTAAAATACCGCGACATTTGGGTGTTTGCGAAAATTGCGCTTTACGTTTAGTCGGCTTTTCCGACGCATGTGAACGTGCTTACGGAGCTGTGGTGTATGCTCATGTCACTCACGCAAACAAAGTTACAACGCGACTCGTTTGTGCTAAGTCAAAGGTTTCACCGATGAAACTTTTGTCCATAGCGCGTCTCGAGCTCTGTGCTGCCGAACTACTGGCAAGACTTATTCGACGCGTTTACGACATCTACAGCCCACGCTACCCCATTTGCGACATATACGCGTTTACAGATTCGATGGTCACTTTATGTTGGCTAAAATCTTCACCGCACCGCTGGCAAACTTTTGTTGCCAACCGCATTGTTAAGACCATTGACAATTTATCAGCCGCTAATTTTCATCACGTAGCTGGTTTGGACAACCCAGCTGATTGTCTGTCACGAGGTCTTACGCCCGCAAAATTAATATCGCATCCCTTGTGGTCACATGGTCCAGCCTGGCTCGCACAGGACCCATCTCTATGGCCTACTAATAAGATGGACGAATGGGTAGAACTGGACTGCTTGCCTGAAGAGAGAGTAATAGCTCATCACGTTACAACGTCAGATATATGCTGTTCTCTCATTCAGGATCTTAATGAACGCATATCCTCATGGAATAAACTTACGCGAATTCTAGTATACGTTTGCAGATTTATTAAGAAGTTACCTCGTACCGGTGCGAATTCAGTTTGCGCGTCTGATATAAATGCTGTTGAACATATAATAATAGGCGATATTCAAAAGCGACATTTTTCGCACGACATTAAACTTTTAAACGCTGGCAAAAATTGCTCTCCCGCGCTTATGAAGCTTAAACCATTTTTATATGAAGGCCTTATACATGTTGGTGGCCGTCTTTCTAACTCCGCTGAAAGTTTAGAAACCAAATTTCCAATTGTTCTACCGCGTCACGACACGCTCGTCGAGTCTTTGATCGATTACTATCATAAAAAATATTTACACGCCGGTCCAGAACTACTTATGTCTTTACTAAGACAACGATTTTGGATCTTGTCTGCTAGACGAATTATTCGGTCTAGAATTAATAAATGTAATACTTGCTTTAAATCAAAACCGCGTCCGCAATTTCCGTTAATGGCAGATCTACCGGGACCAAGAGTTACTCAATCTGAGAAAGCTTTTGCGCACACCGGCTGTGACTACGCAGGTCCTATACCGTACACGCCTATAAGAGCTCGCGGTGTCAAAACTCGTAAGGCTTACCTATGCATATTTACGTGCCTTACTACGCGTGCACTTCACATCGAGGTCGCCACGGATCTTTCCACTGTTAGTTTTATTGCAGCTTTAAAACGCTTCCTTTCGCGACGTGGCCCCGTGAAGTGTCTATACTCCGATCGAGGTACAAATTTTGTCGGCACACGCTCTTATCTACGCGATTTATATAATTTTATTACAAATGATTATCGCTCGCGTTTAGAAGAAGAACTAGCGGAAAGTCGCATTGAACTCAAGTTCATAGCGCCTGCCGCTCCGCATTTTGGTGGTTGTTGGGAAAGTATGGTAAAGTGCATAAAAAACCATCTTTTTAAGGTTATCGGACAGCAGATCCTTGCGTATGAGGAGCTGATCACGATCCTCGCACAAATAGAGTGCTTACTAAATTCGCGTCCGCTTACTGTATTGAGCTCAGACCCTTCCGAACCAACAGCTCTTACTCCCGCACATTTTTTGAATGCAACACCGTTACGTTCCTTACCTGCCCCCGATGTAGAATCTACGCCCGATGACTTTGCTCCATCGACACGCGCTCTTGCACAAGTTGGTCCAGTCTTTCTGGCGTCGTTGGAGAATTGAATATTTGCATCAACTGCAGACGCGACAGAAATGGACTAAATCCTCTGTCCCAATTAAAGTTGGCACAGTAGTCATAATTATAAAAGATAATTCGCCGACTCTTTCTTGGCCATTAGGAGTCATCGAGAAGGTTCACCCGTCTAAGGACAATATAATTCGCGTCGCTACGGTAAAAACTGCAAGAGGTACACTTATTCGACCTGTAGTTCGATTGTGTCCTTTGCCTTCACAATAATATTACTTTACTTAACCGCTTATTAAACTCCTGTTACTATATATTTATTTATTCTATATTTATTCATATTATTTACATACGCATAAACTTATGTCCATTTATTATACTATTCCTTTTAAAGGTGACCCTTTAAGGGCGGGGGAAATGTTGCCGCCATATCATACTAATTTGAATATTCCCGCATTAAGATGTCAATTACATTGACAAATCATACTTCCTTTAAATCCTTCATTTCATTCGTTCGCAACCGGCACTGTCCGTTCAAACCGCACGCACGATGGACAATTATATAGTGTAACCGCTCGCCTTTAACACCGCATCAACGCTTCTATCTACTTTAAATTATTAACTTTATAAATCACGGCCGTGAATGTGTAAATCTGTGTAACTGTACATGACTTATAATCCGAGTGCCTCGCTGACTGAAGCCGATAGAAGATTCGTCGCTGGAAGCCTCCAGGTCAGTGCGTGCTCCATGATTCGTCTGCCGGTTGCAAATTAAATCCTAACTAATCCCGCATATACAGTCCACTTTTATCGAAATAAACCTAATTCCGCACCAGAGTGCTTGTCAATATTGTATTCATTATTTGAGAGTAAGTAGCTCCGGGCATACAATGATTAGAAACTGATTGTCCCTTACATATATTATTAAGCAACGACCCCATATTCCTCCCTAACTCATCACTATAAACTTTGATAATATCATTACTGGGAATATGTTGTGTTACTTGTTCATGTCTGCTGTTGATGTGGCTGTTGTGATTCTCATCAGTCTGAAGAAGAAGGCACTTCATCAACATTCAGCCGAGAAAGACCAAGGGAGCTTTGACATTCACAAACATAGTTTTTTGTAAGTGAGTCAAAGCGGTCTGAATTATTCTTACATATGTCAAGCAGGTCGTTCATGGCTGAAATATGTCCAGCAATTTCTTTTGGGACATCTCATATTTTTTTGTTATCGAGTTCAAAGAACTCTCTAAGGATAATACTTCAGCCTGAAGGGTATTCACATCAGCCTTATATGATAACTGAACTTTTTGGGCCTCATTATAAAAGATATTAATTTTTGACCGGAGTGAATTTCTTTCCTTACAAATTTTTGCAAAAATTTTGTTAGTATTATATTTATTTTTTAGCAAATGTTGTGTTTTCCTAATAAATTTGTTAATTTTGACATATTTCTTATGCTTTTTTTTACTAAGAACTGGGTAAGAGGGTCCAGAGTCATCGCCAGTCAAATCAATTGTACAGATGTCATTTTTAAAGGCAGAGACTGAGGTTACCATATCAGGTGTTTTCTCAACCAGTTCATTAAATAGACTCTGGGCTTGAGTGGCCTTTAAATTTAGGTTCTTATTCTCTAGTTGTAGAATGGTTTGTTGGGCCATATTCAATTCAGACCTCAGCACAGCAGTGAGACCGAGGGCTTCCTCATACTCACCCCTACACTGATCAAACCCATCGACTATTTTTTGCAGATTATCATTATGTTCTATTAAGTTTATATATTTACAATGTAGGTTTGATAGTTCATTTTTTAATTGTTTATTCTTATTGATAATCTGCAACGTCTCTTGTTCATTATCATCCCTCTCTCTCAACAACTGATCACACTGTGTTTTGGTCGCCTTTAACTCTTGGAGCGCCAGCTAGAGTTGTTCCTCAACCTGGCGCGCCTTGGTGTTACGGGTCATCATTTTAAGGATAAGTTGTAATTAGGTTGAAAAAGAAACAAAATTAACAGTGTGCAATTGAAAGAGGAAAGAATGACAAAAAATTTAAATTTGAAATCGTTACCTTAGCGGTGACAGCTGACGGAACATAAAAACAACACTCTAGAAAACAAAGGACAATACACCGAGTAAAATTTCTAGTCTCTAATATTATTTTTCGTTAACAGAGGCCAATTAGATTGTTAAATTTATAAAAAAACATGAAATACAAAAATAATTAAAATAAAAATAAAGGGAGAAGTTACAATGACATGTGTATCTTAGAGTTGCCAGCAGGAAAGATCCTTGTTAGAGGATACATTTACACTAGATAAAACACATGTTTGTGATTTTGAAGAACAAGACTCAACCATGCCTAATAATAAAAGCAATGTTAGATTAACAGTAACATCAAAACAATTCATCAACACCTATGTAGTTGTCGAATTGAGCGAGTCCATCCTGGGAAGTATCACAACCTCAACAGAAGACTGACATGAAGTAGCAGTGTTACACTTCTGCATTTTCTATGCTGAATGAAGTAACTGGGCTCACTTTATTAAGAGATGGCAATGCATCCGGCTACCCTATGGGTTTTGCTAATGTCCATGGGTGGACATTATCACTTGACTCACTCAATAACTGGTGAAACTCCAGCTTGCACATAGAAAAAAATTTTTTTTTCTTTTCTTTATCATTTAAATATTTTTGTATGTGTCAATATTCTACAACTACTGTAAAAGCTTCTATATGTAACATAATTAACCACTATTCTATATTTCAGGTGCAATTGAAAAACAAAAGTTAGTGTACATTTTAAATCGAGATGCTGAGGCAAGATTAACAATTTCATCACCTCTTGAAGCCCATAAATCAAATACATTAGTTTACCATATGGTTGGTGTGGATGTTGGATTTGAAAACCCAATGTTTGCATGTTTGGAAATTGATTATGAAGAGGCTGATTCTGATCCCACTGGTGAGTTACAAGTTACGAAACATAAGCAAAGCATTGTTAATAATATTATAATGAATATACAGGGAGGCTTTTCTAAGTGTATCCATTTTTTTTTTTTTTTTTTAATTAAATTCTAGACAAATAGTTTTATATAAAAAATGATAAATATTTGAAATCACTCTTAAGTAATTCACTCTTAAATCACTCTTAAGGCCCATTTACACGGTGCAAGTTTCTTGCCTGTAGTATACAATTAAATTGAAGCAATAAATGAGTTGCATGGTCTAAACAGCACATAACATTCTTGCCTGTTGAACAAGACTTGCTTCAAGTTTTGTTTCAAAACTTTCCTTGGTGTAAACAGCACACAATAATTTCTTAAGCAATTCTTGTATTCAATTGCATTCTCTCTTCCTTGGCAAAAATTTGTGCAATGAGTGAGGGTATTTAATCATTGCTGTTCTTTTGAGGATAGAAATATTGAGAAAAGGTCGTAAAAAAAGTTGGATAAAAATATTAATAATAATATATGGATCATAATAAATAAATCTCAATGAAATATATTTAATCGGCATAATCTAACTTGAACACTTATTATTGAGCCATTTTTTTTAAAAAAACAGCCCTTTGTAAAACGTTCAACAATTGCATGAAAAATTTGTCAACGCAAATACGTGCAATACTTGAAGCAACACGCCAATAAATTGTACACGCACATACATACAAGCATGTGTTTAGACAAGTCAAAACTTAAAAGCAATAATCGCCTAAACATAATTGCATTGGTGTAAACAAAAGACCTTTGCAATTATTTCCTGTCAAGACTTGCATACAATAATCGCATTCAATTTTTTTTACTACATCTGCGTGTAAACTGTTGCTTACAATTTTTGATGGTCAATTATTGCGTGCAACTTATTGCATTCAATTATTGCTCTTGTATGTACAAGAAAATGGCATCGTGTAAATGGGCCTTTAAGTAACAATCATTTGAACTTATCTCAAAAAGGGCGTGATTTATACGCAACGCATTTGCATACGCAAGTCATTTATTTTACGCGCGATCATTCATAACTAACACGCACACAAGTTTGTTTCTGTGTGTGAACAGTAAAATTTAGGTATTTATGAGTGACTACTGTGTTGTCAACAAATTCTGTTTTTTAGATAAGGGAATGGTAATTTATTTGAAAAAAAAAAGTTTGTTTTTATTTACCGAACCTCCTTTGTAAATTTGGGCCCCTTTAAAAAAGCCTGCCTGTATAAAATTTTACTACTTAAGTTTTCTATAAAGTTTTACCTTTAATTTTTGTATAGTAAATCTGAGTGCCCTAATATAAAGTATTCCTAAAATATGAAAATTTTCACAATACTTTTAATACTTTTAGATATGTTATGATTATTTTGAGGTCCGTGTTTTTGACTGACAGTGATACCAAATCCTCACTCACATGAATGGTAAATAAATCAATCACCATATCACCATTAATTATGATGAAAGCTCATAAAACTTACTCTTTACAGGTGAAGCTGCTCAGAAAACACAACAAACTTTAACATTCTATGAATTAGATTTAGGCTTGAATCATGTTGTCAGAAAATATTCTGAACCTTTAGAAGAACATGCAAACTTTCTCATAACAGTTCCAGGTGGTAATGATGGCCCATCAGGTGTCCTTATTTGTTCAGAAAATTATCTTACATACAAAAATTTGGGTGACCAGCATGACATTAGATGTCCAATACCCAGACGACGTAATGATTTAGATGACCCTGAAAGAGGGATGATTTTTGTGTGCTCTGCTACTCACAAAACAAAGTCTATGTTTTTCTTTTTGGCGCAAACTGAACAGGGCGATATTTTTAAAATTACCATAGAAACCGATGAAGATATGGTAACAGAAATAAAATTAAAATATTTCGACACAGTACCGGTTGCATCGTCTATGTGCGTTTTGAAAACTGGGTTTCTCTTTGTGGCCTGTGAATTTGGCAACCAGTAAGTATAGTGCCTTATTAATACTTTGCATGTAGATTTGTGAGTATAGGGTTGTCCTGTCCTCACTTCAAAATCACGCATGCAAGAAAAATTTATCTCTGAACCAAGGTCCTACCTTTGCTATGGGGTATGTGCACACTGATGAGAGATAAACACAAACAATATTTTTGGTATGCATTTTATATATCTTAGATCTTCCAATTTAATGAACTACTCATGTTTTTTTTTAGCTACTTATATCAAATTGCACATCTTGGTGACGAAGATGATGAGCCAGAATTCAGTTCAGCTATGCCATTAGAGGAAGGAGACACTTTCTTCTTTGCACCCCGACCATTGCGAAATCTAGTGTTGGTTGATGAGCTAGATTCACTTTCTCCTATATTGGGTAACTATACATCTACTAGAATGGAAACTTACAATATTTAATCAAATAAACAATAGGCAATTATTTTTGTTAACCAATGATTAAATGATCTATGAAACTTTCAGCCTGTAGAGTAGCCGATTTGACTGGTGAAGATACTCCTCAAGTTTACCTAGCATGCGGGCGTGGTCCTAGATCCTCTTTGCGAGCATTACGACATGGTTTAGAAGTAGCCGAAATGGCCGTGTCAGAATTACCAGGTTCACCTAATGCTGTATGGACTGTGAGGCGACACAAAGATGGTAAGTATTCACTTAAAAATTGTTTTAACCTATGTAAATATAAGAAAACTTGAAGTTAGGATTGAATGAATAAAGGAGCATAATGATTAAAAACTTTGGTCCGTGTTACTGAAACACTGTGACGCAACAATAACCACTTATGAGTGCTCCTGTTTATCAACAATTTACTAATAAAACCCTGGTTGTTTGTCATACATAAACACCAGTGGTTTTTCTTTTCAGAATCTTCTATCCGGAGATGAACAAATGAGATGGTCCCATCAATGACAAAGGTAGGCATCGGAAACTATTTACCACCATTGGAGGCTGCCATGGCAAGAAGAACTATTATTGCAAGCTTTTCCTGATGTGTCTGAGCTTTATCTTATCTTTTTTCATCTCTTTGGTTACAGAGGAATATGATTCATACATCATTGTATCATTTGTAAATGCTACACTTGTGCTGTCCATTGGTGAGACTGTTGAAGAAGTGACTGACTCTGGGTTTTTGGGAACTACACCAACGCTTAGCTGTCATGCTTTAGGCAGTGATGCACTAGTGCAAGTTTATCCTGATGGTATCAGACATATCAGGGCAGATAAAAGAGTCAATGAATGGAAAGCTCCGGGCAAGAAATCTATTGTAAAGTGTGCTGTGAACCAAAGACAAGTGGTCATTGCTCTGACTGGCGGTGAACTTGTATATTTTGAGATGGACCCTGTAAGTAGATAAAACATATTATTTTATACCATCGACGTGTTTGCATGGCTATGCCTTCGGGTTGTAGCCTTGTGAGAGTGGTGCGTAGCTGTCAATGCAGTGATGAGCCCACAACGTCGTAGATCATGTCGAGCTCCTGCTTAGCAGTTGAGATTGGCACTCGGCATATTCCATAGCCATGCTGGAGTCACTATGACTGTGAAGGCGGCAAAACCATGCCGTGGACAAACAGCCTTAAACTTTGATAGTGTTATAACTCCTCAAATTATTCAGTTACATACAGCAATAAACCTTACTAATCACATTGTTGCAATGACTCTTACTAGATATGTCTTGTGACCCCATTAACACATATGTTTTGTGTAATTTTTATTAATCAAAATTCATGTTACAGACTGGACAATTAAATGAATACACTGAAAGAAAGAAATTGTCCTCTGATGTGTCCTGTATGGCTCTAGGCTCAGTTGCAACTGGCGAGCAGAGAGCTTGGTTTTTGGCTGTAGGGTTGACTGATAATACTGTAAGAATTATCTCTTTGGATCCATCGGTGAGTAACAAAATAGTTTTGATTACATTTACATGTATTTAGATTATATGATGATACCAGGACACCACTGATTAGAATTGATTATAAAAACCTAAAAAAATGCGTTATTCTCAAACTCTTTCTGACTATTCCTTTATTTTCTTAAATATAAGATTTTTTACACTTTAATATTAATTATTACCTTTATTGCAGGATTGCTTGGCACCTCGCTCAATGCAAGCATTACCAGCAGGCGCCGAATCATTATGCATTGTGGAGCAACCATTTGAATCTGGTGCCAAATCTGCTCTACATCTGAATATAGGGTTAAGCAATGGTGTTCTATTGAGAACTACTTTGGACTCAGTGAGTGGGGATTTAGCTGACACAAGAACTAGGTAGCTAAACCATTTTACTAATCTATTTGCTTAAATATTTTCAAATTACCAATGATGTCAACCATATCGCTCCGTGTTTCATCTGAAAAGCCATGACGATTAATTAACCAGATCTGAGGTTCTTAAATGATTACTTAAATAAATATAACTTTTAATCTTTTGATTTATATAGAATTTTACACTTTTAGGTATTTGGGGTCTCGACCTGTTAAGTTATTCAAAGTCAAAGTGCAGGCGACTGAGGCAGTACTTGCAGTGTCTTCTAGAACATGGTTGGGATATCACTATCAAAATCGCTTCCATTTGACGCCGCTATCTTATGAATGCTTAGAATATGCTGCAGGCTTTAGTTCAGGTACATGTGCATGGTGAAATATTTAACCATTTATGACTTATATCACTATTTACTTCATTCAAATCAAAAAAGATTTTAATTTTACCGACGTGTTTACATGGCAATGCCTTTGGGTGGAGCCATGTGAGAGTGGTGTGTAGCTGTCAATGCAGTGATGTGCCCACAACGTCGTAGATCATGTTGATCTCCTGCCTAGCAGTTGAGATCGGCACTCAGCATATTCCATAGCCATGCTGGAGTCATTTAGACTGTGAAGGCGGCAAAACCATGCTGTGGACAAATATTTCGACAATCATACAATTTGATTAAAGTCAATTCTGTTACTCTGAAACTTTAATTAATTGTTCTTTTTTTTATACAGAACAATGTGCTGAAGGTATTGTTGCCATTTCCTCAAACACCTTGAGAATTCTCGCATTGGAAAAATTGGGAGCCGTTTTTAACCAGACTTACCTGCCATTAGAATATACGCCAAGAAAATTTGTAATAAATACAGACAACAATCATATTATAGTTCTGGAGACTGATCACAATTCTTATACAGAAGAAATGAAAAAGCAGAGAAGGTAAATTTTAAGTTTAATCAAAACCATTCATCAAAATAACTATGATGAAAACTTCACACACAAGCTGAATTTTATTGATGTCATACCTGCAGTCCTGATTCCAAAAATATGAGTGCAAAATTTCCAAAATATTTTTATTTCTATTAATAAGATGAATAATTTTAGAATTCAAATGGCGCAAGAAATGAAGGAAGCTGCAGCGGGCGGTGGACCAGAGGAGCAGCAACTGGCCAATGAAATGGCTGATGCCTTTCTATCTGATGTCTTGCCTGAAAATGTCTTCTCTTCGCCAAAAGCTGGTGCAGGTTAGTTGAACTGTGATTTAACACATGGAACTTAAACAGTAGAAAGTATAAATATTCCGCCATATTCTCTGGGCAAGAGCAGAATATGTCTGTGAGCGTACTAGCTCTAATCGAATATGGCTATAACAAATCCTTGTATTAATCCCAGATGACTTATGTAAGTCATTTGATTCAAACAATGGATACATAATACCACATTTTACAGTTAATACTCATATTATTGATATCCCTAAACAATAAATGTAAATGTTATTTTTAACCAGGTATGTGGGCATCTCAAATAAGAGTCATTGATATGGGAATTGGTGGAGCTCAGCCTAATACACTGTTTAAGTTGCCTTTGGAGCAAAATGAAGCGGCGGTGTCCCTGTGCATCATACGTTGGGCCGCCCACGCCGAACACGCTCAGCCGCATCTAGTTGTTGGAGTGGCTAAAGACATGATACTCTCTCCAAGATCTTGTACTGAGGGCAGTTTACATGTGTACAAGGTAAATTATTAGCATATGTAAAGTCTTAACAACCTATTTACTTAACATAACCATTCTAAATTTAAGTCATTCGCTTTTAGATATTCGCAAATACTGGCAAACTGGAACTCGTCCACAAAACTCCTATAGATGAGTATCCAGGAGGATTAGCAGCTTTCAATGGAAAACTACTGGCAGGTGTGGGACGAATGTTGAGAATGTATGACATTGGTAGGCGTAAACTACTGCGCAAATGTGAAAATAGACACATTCCAAATCTTATAGCTGATATCAAAACTGTGGGACAAAGAATATTTGTATCCGATGTGCAAGAATCTGTATTTTGTGTCAAGTATAAGAAAAGAGAGAACCAACTGATCATCTTTGCTGATGATACAAACCCTAGATGGATAACAAACACTTGTATACTAGATTATGATACTGTGGCCATGTCTGACAAGTTTGCTAATATAGCTGTGATGAGATTGCCACATTCTGTCAGTGATGATGTTGATGAAGATCCTACTGGGAACAAAGCACTTTGGGATAGAGGTAAATTTAATTTAAATTACCCTTTTTCTCCATTTCCAATTTAATGATGATACCATTAAATTTACACATGCTAGACTAATGAATATAAATGATTAATATTTTTTTCTGAAATAATGGAAATCTGTCACTTGTTTTGATTATCAATTTAAATATGTTTTAAAAAGTCTATCCTTTCTAAAGGTTTGCTGAATGGTGCATCACAAAAGGGTGAAATAGCTGTCAATTTCCACGTTGGAGAAACTGTCACATCCTTACAAAGAGCCACACTGATTCCCGGAGGATCTGAAGCGCTACTTTATGCCACCGTCAGTGGATCTCTTGGAGTTCTGCTGCCGTTCACTTCTAGAGAGGACCATGACTTCTTCCAGCACTTGGAAATGCACATGAGGAGTGAAAACTCCCCGCTATGTGGCAGAGACCATTTATCGTACAGGAGTTACTACTACCCTGTTAAGGTGAGAAAGAATAAAGCGATACGCACTTACAATGTGTAGATATACTGTAGCAGTATTTTTCGCTGCTGTTAGGATGAAAACATGTGCGGTTTTAAGTTTTCACATAAAGAAAGCCTTCCGGAATGCGCTTCCAATTGCTCAGCCTCTAAACTAGGCGGTTAACATCCTCATCACGCGAATATCTATCTCAACGTCTTATCTACTTTGTCTTCATTGCATTTTTAACAATGCACTGACGCCAATTCACCTATTGTACTTCATTAGCAAGCATACTTTCTCAAATGACATTTAAAAACTAGAGATGTCACCTTTGAATCTGATTTGCATCCACGGCATTTGTATTTTTGTGTGCGAAGAGTTGGATAGTGATTCCCGATGACCACCACTGCGACCTAGAAAGAATTAATTATTTTAGTCTTCCCTACGAAAACATTGCCCCCGCACTGTACGATAACATTATACTGTATTGTTATGTCCACAAAAACTTCATATATGTAATATGAAGTTTTTGTGGACATACACCCAGATCGAAAACAATTATCTGGTGGTCACACAAATAGTTTAAGAAACGAACCCACGATCCCCGGCGCTTAAGCCTATACCTCTCTAATAGCGCCACGTGGTCACTTGCATCCACAGTAAGTCAACAGATGCCCTCCACAGGGTGCATTTGTGTTACACTGTTGGTAGAGAAGCGACGCTGGGAGGCGACGCGTGTGTTTGCCGTTGTGGCGACCGCGCGCCGCACCCTGCGTTGCCCTTCCTGAGAGTCGGAAGTGCGGCACCACCGCATTTCCGTAGTATTTGGAATGAACAATCGCAACGGAAACGGATCTCTATTGACCGAAATGCGCCATTAAAAAATACACTGCTTTGATGAATCTTTTTTTTTTTTTCTTTTCATTAACAATTAGCTGTCAATTTTTATAATTAAAAGTTATTGTCGCTACATAGTACAATTGATCGACTATACTAATTTATAAATAAACTTGTTACAGAACGTTATAGACGGCGATCTGTGCGAACAATTCAATTCGCTCGAGCCGGCGAAACAAAAGGCCATCGCGGGCGACCTTGAGCGAACGCCCGCCGAAGTCTCGAAGAAACTGGAAGATATAAGGACTAGATATGCCTTTTAAGTTATTCGTATCGTTCAATTTAATAATAAGAAATAAATAAGTGTGTAATTCAGATGATTTATTATTTATCTTTGTTCAAACTTAATATCTTATGCTATGTAATTTAGATATCAAAGGTATAGGTGTCAAAATCACAGTACAGAATAGAATACCTGCACTACCACAATGGCGTGTAAAAACTTCATTAGGCATTGAAAATAGCCACTACCTAATCTACTCTTACGTAAGATTTAGAGTCCCACATAACAATTTTGTTACGCGAATGGTAGCCATTTCCGCGGAAGCGTTTATAAACTTTCTTTAAAAATGTTATCACTGTTCAGTATTCCATAATATGCACTAGTGTTAAACATTCAGGTGTATACAAATATGCATCAGACCCAATTAACCGTTGGCTACAAAACACCTGTAACCACCATGTTGCTATCCAAGGGCAGCGATCACCACTTACATCGAGTTAACCGCGTGCTTCACCTATCACATAAAAAACAACCAACATAGTGTACCAGCGACACACAAATATCTTAGAAATGATTTTTTTATTTATAAAGTTCACCTAGATAATTAAGACTGATCCTAAATTTTTATATAAATTGGAGGTTATCATTTAACCAGTTTCCCAAATAAGCAGGCTTACATGACAGTTGTCTTATCATAGCGGTTCCTACTACGAGAGGTCGAAAGTTAATGTTATAAAAATTATATTGCAATGTATTATTATAGTCTTGGATCAGTTACAATTTTTATAATATTTAGGGCTATTAAACTGCAAAGTCCCAATTATAAAGGTAATTAATCATCGAAAAATCTAAGAAATCTATTCTGAGTTACAAAGGTTTAAAAATTCCTAGTAACAGAGGTATTTGATGGAAAGTCAGGACGTCATTGTATTTATAAATAACAGGTTTCTCATATAAATAGGCCTACTCGATTTCTCATATAATTTCGCCCTGAATAGGCCTACTTATCCAGTTTCTCTCAATAATTCTTGTGTGTGTGTGTGTGTGTGTGTGTATGTGACTGAACTCACTAAATTTTTTGTGTGTATTATAGTGGACTAGAGAATGGTTTACATTCACAATTCGGTTTACTACAAAATTTAAGACGTGTTTATAGGACGTCTGTCGTATCCTCTAGTATATAGGTATATATACTTTAGATATGCAGGTAAATCACCATTGGAAACTGATGCTATTAAAATTTCCATTGGTGCTCGCACACCGGGATTGTACTCTGGACTTACATACTGAACATAGCGCCTGAATATTGAGCGATCTTTCTATTATAAAGGGGAAATAGGACATAAGCGATAATGTTTGTCGATGAGAAGATGAAATCTTAAATTAAAAAGGTTTCGTGGTCCTTAATTCCCATCCTAATGAAATCATACTTTAGTTAAAAATGATAAAGACAATCCAATTGTTCTTGGTTTTTGGTTTGTATTTTAACGCTCTGTAGAAAAGGATTGTTCAAATGGCGATCGTGACGAACGTTGGTAGCAAACACTTAACTATGACGTATTACCGGTTGCGGTGCCGAGCTGGCAAGGGTTCGTTGTTTTCTTTGACCCACTTCCAATGTAGGTATGTGGCATGAGAACTACGCCCCTTGCTTTCACGTCGAGGAGACGGAAACGTTACATGTTATGCCATTCTAACGTAAATCACTTTAAATACCGGCCTGTGAACGACTAAAGCATTCAGCTAATAAGTTAGATAAAGTCATTCACAGTGCAATCGTTTTATTAACAAATTTTATAAGCAAATGTTGGTTTTTGACTTGATGATTATTTTTATCCATATTAGTCACTTTTTCCTAACATACGCATAATAAATATTGAAACAATTTCTTACTATGATAATATTTTGCTATTCCCTGTGTAAATCGCTGATTGTAAGAATACTGTACATAACTACCTGACAAATGTTGTTTTGCCATATAAATTATTTGTAGGGTAGAAAAAAATGTTTGGGGTGGACCACCCTAATCATTTAGGGGGATGAAAAATAAATGGTGTCCGATTCTCCACAAAATTTCACGAAAATCGGTCGAGCCATTTCGGAGGAGTTCAATTACAAACACCGTGACACGAGAATTTTATATATTAGACTAGCTGACCCCGCAAACGTTGTCTTGCCGTAAAGATTATTTCTAAGGAATTTGTAGGGTAGAAAAAAAAATTGGGGTGGATCACCCTTAACATTTAGGGGGATGAAAAATAGATGTCCGATTCTCTACCCTGGCCGATATGCACACAAAATTTCACGAAAATCGGTCGAGTCGTTTCGGAGGAGTTCAATTACAAATACCCCGACACGAGAATTTTATATATAAGATAATGTATGTGTAACTTTATTACATTAATTTAACTTGCGTTAAATAAATAAAATTAATTTTGAATTGAATTCGAATGTAATGTCGACGACCTACCTACCTACGCCTTTCCTTAAACCGGAAGCACTGCAGTTCGAAACTATGAACGAGCAAATAATTGAGCTCTTAAAAGAGCTATATTATCTTATAGCTCATAAGCTCTGTGACGGCGAACATTATAATGTTATAGGTAATATGTTATAAACAAAGTCTAGTAGTAACTTCTTTTTAGTAAAAGTAATGTTTTTGACCTCTCTTTCAACTTGTTCAGAAAAACGCGTCCGTCCTAAAACTAAAATTATAGTCACTTTTAAAATATTAGCACGCCCTTAAGACTATAATTATTACCTACATTTTCTATTTCCATAATCGAGCGAATCTTCTCAAATTATCCAAATTGCAGTTATTCCTAATCCATAATGTATTTTATTTAACATTCACAAATTCACTTAATGAATAAATGTAAACTTTTAGAAAATAAAAAAAAAATTAAGCTAAACCTAAATAATAACCGATTACTATGATTTTTGCTTGCGAATTATAATATTAAATGATAGAAGTCCAAATTAATCATTCTTTACCGCGGTCCATATTGCAGAAGAAGCCTCAACGGATTTACTTTCATTATTGTGTCATTCTTATTCATCAAGCGTGCCAAGTGAAGTTGTTTTAACTTTCAACTGAATACATTTTAACGCTGTTTAGTGGGAGCTGTGGGCGAAAAACGAATACAAACAAGCAGGTCGAATTAAAATGCCATGATAACAGTAACGCACCCGCCCATTGCCCTAGAATTTGAGTGAGAAAAAACCTCATTTTCCCGAGACCACGTGAAACAAACGTTGCCATAACTACAATATCGACCGCCGGCTTTTCCGAGGCTTTCCTCTGAAACGCTCACGTTTGCGTGACACGCGCTGAAATAAGGACTATATGTCTAGACGTCGAGACAGTCGTACTGTACCGTTCATTCCGATCGGTGTTATCGCGGCACACGTAATAATGTGGGAACGGTCGATGTAGGTGACGTGCCGTTATTTGAAAAAAAGAATATACATTGTTATCCGTGGGATTTCGGATCGTATCTGCGACGTGCCAGTCCAACAATCGCGGACAATGAGTGCACGCGCGAAACGAAGCGAGACGCGCGACCGCCGATGCGCGAGCGGTGGTTTTTAAAAAGCGCTCTTGGGCACTCATTAGGCCGGTGCACCGTACCTGCGCTGCGGTTGGGAGGAGCAACGCGTGTGCTGGACGGAGCGTTAGAAAGTGTAATGTGTAGTGCGGTGCGATGCTGTCGGTGAGCAAGCCGGCGTCTTTAGTCCAGCAGAAGAAACAGCAGTGGGCGCGGGAGAGAGGTGCGTAACGCGTCTGGTAGAAGCGCGAACGCCGTGTAGCCTTAAAAGTTTTGCAACGGCTCGAGGCCAACGTTTCGTGAAGCTTAACGTCTGTTCCCGCCACCGTGACAGATAACACCAATATCTGCACGGACACGAAACGGAATTGAATACGAACGGATTTAGAGATATTTATCACTCGTCGGTATGTAGCTATTATGTATATTATAAAATATCTTTAACTTTGCAAAAGCGTTGTTTGTCGGGATAAAACGTAAAAAGGATATATAATAATGCATCATTAAGAATAAGCGCTTTGAACACAATAATAAAAGAAGTAATTGAGTCCATGTTATCTTGAAAAGAAGTAATAATGTATTATAGAAAGGCAAAACGTAATATCTCTGATGAATGTTTTTATTAACATCGGAGGTCAAACGTGCTTCTAACTATAAACACATGTGATGTATTTTTATATATATACTGTATTATTTAAATAATTCCACGTCGTCATATAGAATAAATGTAAAAAAATTCAATTAATGATAAAAAAAATGCGTTCACGAATTTCAATAATTTATGCAATATGAACTGTCAGATTATTTCATCAAATTAATACCTTTGAACGAGCAATTCTTGTATATACTATGAATATACATAATCTAAATCTGTGAAACGGCTAGAATGATTTTCATGAAATGTACTAATGTATGTGTAGGTTCCGGGGGTGACAAATCGATCTTGCTTTTTTTTTGGATTTCTAACTGGCCAGCACTTGTCTGCCATCCCACCTGAGCTAAGTTTATTTTTAGAGTGTGTGTTTTCAGGCCCATAAAAAACTGCTACAATATCATTAGAATACGGTAATGTAATTTTCGCTTCCATCAACAAAGTTATAGTAGCTCAGTTGGGAAATCGGGCGGTCCCGAAACCAGAAGACCCAAGGTTAATTTCAGTGGACATTCGACTCCGGAGATACAGTCAAATAGTTTTTGTTTTTTGTTAATAAGAATTAACTTTTTCAAATTTAAACTCCTATGTCAAAAAAAATGTATCGACTTTGGAATAAACAAAAGTGTATAAAAAGGTATCTTAAACATTTCAATCACAAGACTTCTATATGTCTACGATAGTTAAATAAGAATAACTGACATATGGTCCTGGACAATTCCGGAACTGATATAATAGGCTTTTCAGCCTATTATATCAGTTCCCAATTAGTTCCTCTCAGAAAAAATATTTTTTTTCGAATTATTATACATATATAGGTCAGTACAAAAGCTGAATTTATATTTACAAAAAATAAAACATTCTTTTATTTTTACTTGTTACATAGAAGTTAATGTTTAAAATTTTGGACGTTTTGATTCACGACTTAATCGTATAATAATAAATTAAATACAAAATTTTAGTAAAGTGCCTGCTCGTTTTACCCGAAGTGATCCAACTAGGCTTTAACTTAGACCTAATGATGACCTAAATCAAGGTTGCTTTAAAATTGATAAAGGTATGCTTGTCTAGTTCCGATGCGCAACTCTGTAGTAAGCACAAAGAAAAAAGTAGATTTGGGGGTTACGATGCTACGCCGGTTTTAATTTTTACAAACAATTATATTTCTTTTCAACATTCAAACTAACATTATTTTTTTTTATAAATATATTCGGCACGTTAGAAACTTCAGATGAAAAAGAAGTGTGCTATTGAAACTTTCGATTCTTTTATATAACCGGTGCTGCATATGTATCTGTAACACTGATTAATCTCTGTTAGAATGTGTTGTTCAGTGCTTTCAAGTAGGTTTCATTCAAACGCAGTTTTGCACGTGACTTTCAAATTGTAGCAAGATTTTTACTGACGAGACATTGTAGATTTTTATAGAATTTTTTTTCTGTTTTGTATAATACTAGCTACCCGCCCCGGCTTCGCACGGGGCAATGTATTATACATATAAACCTACCTCAATCTATCTAGTAAAAAAACCGCATTAAGATCCGTTGCGTAGTTTTAAAGATCTAAGCAGACACAGGGACAGACAGACAGATCCATGCCTTTCGTTAGCACTATTTTTAAAACGCTGACAATAATTGAGCTTAATATAATATTTAGTAGTCCCTATACAAAGAATAAAACTTTGTGTCCTTTCAGATGCTTTTGACCGATACCAATCGTCGCTTAGAGAATATTAAAATTGTTCATTGTCCCTCGATAAACAGCTTCAAGGCCCAAAAGCAATGAACTCTTGACAAGTTAAAAATATCACAAAATAGAGGTTTCAATACAATTTGTTAGCAATTGAGCAGTTCATACCCCCAAAAGTTTTAAAATTTATTTTACTTAATCATTAGCACATTTTCACTTAGACATTTCCATTTATAAGTAAGTTATAAAACAGACTGTGTTTCAATATACTAAAAGAAATGCTTAGTATCGTATAATATATATTTTATATTAATAACTAAGTAATTAATTTTCTTCTGCTTATCTAAAGTTATCATAATTCGAATAAAAGCTATACTTCCGCAAAGTTCATCTCATATACCACATTATATCGTGTCTTTTCTGTACCATGATAATAAAACGAATTGTTTTAATTTATGTACCATACCACATTCGTGCGCGTATGAAACACATTTTTCTGGGCAAATTATTACGGTGTTGTTACCGTAAAAGTAGGTTGCCGCTCAGATGTAGTATAATCTGTGTTACTTCCGTAAATTTCAGCAATAACCACAGTGCTAATGTTCTGCTTCGTTTTTTATTTTCGAAAAAAGTGGTAAGATAAATAATTTTTTAAAATAGCCCCGAATCTACCGAGAAAATTATATTTAAGCTTCATACGTAAACGTTACCCAAAATTACAAAGTAGGAAATATCAATCTTCACCTTCGCTTTTGACTTTAGCTAGTTTTGTAATGGTATGTATCACATATAATAAAAATGTAACTGATCGTTGTCTGTAACTAAATGGAAGTTATTTGAGAAACAATATTATTGGGGGCCTTTATCAACGCAATAGAACCCGAAACAATGATTTTTTTGAATTTTTATCTGTTCGTCTGTGCGTTTGTGCAAGCTAATCTTAGAAACGCCTTAACCGATACCGGTGCCACTTCACTTAACATTCAGTGTTAGTTTCATTTAATTCGGTTCATAAATAAAAAAGTTATATCAACTTATAGAACCACATTGAAGATTTGTGCGATAAAATGCTTTATAATAGCTACAGTTGAATTGGATGAAACAATAGTTACCTATATATTGTAGTCTGTGAAATTATGATGATTGCAAGTTTATATAAAGTTAAAAACTCTCGTCCAAGTGCGAGAAAGAAAATCTTTTCTGCACATATTGAAACTAAAATAAAACTAATAAATGAGAATAGCCACTTTTATTATATAAGTGACTTGCTGTAGCGTTAAAAAAATAAAAAAAATCATTCTGCGCTTGTTAGCTTTCTGCGCAAGTGCGCAAGAGAGCGTGGCGGGAAAATGCGATAGCTACAGACAGACTAAATAATAAGGCTACGGTAATGTACAATGTTTTTTATGTTATGATAGCATGAACATTTTTGAACATACGACTAAATTAGGTTGATTTAATTTTTCTTGTTGGTTCTTCACTTTCTAAATAAATTCAATGACAACAATAAATGTAATCAAGTTACAGCATGTGTGACAGTAGATGACTTGGCATAATCCCAGTAAAATTAAGTCAGGTGTTAGAATGTTGGTTTCTAGTTAAGTCGTTACGGTTAGCTACATAGCTAGAAACTATAAATGCATTCACTTTGTATCTTTTTATTGCCTCTTTTAAAAATAAAATTAGAATTGAGAAAAAATAAACTGCTCATAGGATACGCTTATACAGTATAATATTTATTCGAAAACAACGGTTCAAAATAGGGTTTCAAAATGTAAAAGAAAACAGACTAATAGAACTCGCCCTTTGAGGTGACCTTATTAAAATTTTACATTTTTTTCTTTAGTTCTTCCATAAGATCTTGGTTCTTGCCAAATTTCTTCACATTCACATTCCAACAACAATAAATTATAAACGTTATATCAACTTAAAACACCACATTGAAGATTTGTGCGATAAAATGCTATATAATAGCTACAGTTGAATTGGATGAAACAATAGTAACTACATATTGTAGTCTGTGAAATGATGATGATTTTAGGTTTTTTTAAAGTTCAAAACAACCGCACCAAGTGCGAGAAAGAAAAGCTATTCATTCATATTCAATAAGTATGATTAGTTAAGTGTCTTCTTAAGTTAAAGAATTTATAAAAAAAACCGGCTATAAATGGTCGACTATGCATGTCTTATCGCATTCTTGCATGCGTATCGATAAAACTTAAAAACCCTTCCTGAGCTAGGGGAATTCTTTGATATTTTATACAGTTGCTCCATGAAAAAGTCTCAGTCTGATCACGCTTTCATCAAGCGAGGTACTAAGCAATAAATGTTTCTTTTCACTATTAAACTTGTTTGCCTTCTAAGTTCAAGTTAAATTAAAAGTTTCTTTATTACAGAAGAAATGTCACAGCTTTACTTGCCGTGGGGATCCGGAGAGCGATATACAAATCGATTGCAAGTACGGAACCAATTCGCAAGTACCCTCGAATTACACAAACAGTCATCATACGATTATCAGGACCGGACAATACAACGACAGAGGAGTCCCAGCCTGCCACCCATACATCGCATAGAAACAGCCAAACAAATAAAAGAGGATAGAAGAACCAAAGACTTTATAAACCGTAATATTTCCAGTGCAAAGAGGTTTTCGTTTTACGACGAGGACGCCGAAGGCGACACTTCCGGTTACGGAAGTGAAACTGTGAATCATATGAGTATAAAAAATCAGTCTGGAATCAACGGTCTCAATCCCGTTGTGGCTTGGCAACAAGATGGGAAAGAAAATAGGTAACATTTAAAAATAATATTTTTTTTTTTTACTGTATTATTAACTAGTAAAGGTACTCAATAAAAACTAATTTATAATCTAAAATACTTTGATACACCATTATTTTTAACCGACTTCAAAAAGGAGGAGCTTCTCGATTCGACTGTATTTTTTTATGTTTGCAACAGAAATTTTCACTGAAATTTTCAGAAATTTTCGACTGAGTGAACTGATTTAGATAATTCTTTTTTTAATAAAATGTTTCATCTTAAGTACAGAGATTAGCACTATAAAAAAATTCAATTTCATGTAGCAAGGGCGATATCTCTCGATCTTTTATCGTTTTAAAATTGTTTGTATGGTATAAAAATAGATAGGCGCCAAGCATTGCTTGAAATGCGGAAAATAAAGACATAGAGATTTTTGGACACTGTGGCAATCAGCCGTTTCAGCTTAGTTGTTAAAGCGTCTGAACGCGAATCCGGAATACATTTGTTCGATTTCAACATATAAACTTTTCTTCCTTTTTCCCATAAATTTTAATCTTAGAGTTCATCACGTTCAAGATAGTGACAGATTGAACTATTTGACATTTTTAGTTATTTACTTTTGGTCTTGGACTTCCTTTATAAAGTTGAGATTAGTACTAATTCGCAACAATTATTTAACAACGTGCCGTAGGTATTAAGGTGAGTTGGTTAAAACGATGATCATTATCGTAAAAACAATATTATATGTCGGAGCAGAGAAGCCTTTTAAGATAAATAAAAATAAAAATCATACAAATAACACTGTTTTTATAATATTTTTACTGTTATTATGCTGTAAACTAAACTTAGTTTTAGTTTTTGAAAGGACTATAATTCGTTTTGAGTATTCTTAATTTGATTGAGTTTTGTTTCGTTGTTTGAAAAAAAATACTTACTCAACTTTCCGAAACTCGCCATGAGTTTATGATCGGAGAGCACGCAATGCGGTTGTAATAATTGTATCGAATGCAAGACTCGTGGAGAATAATTCTAGATTGAAATAAAATTCTCATCAAAATTTTTCAATTATCTAATATTATTAAATAATTGTAGTGACAGTTTATGCAGGTTGGCACAATATTGATTATTTGGGTTCCTAATTAGCGGCGTATTTATTATATCGATTTTACTGACACGAGATATAAGCAATACAATTTTTTCATGGAAGCTATCACTATATTTTATTTCTTTATAAAATTTATTGAGGGGGAACTGGAAATTGGGATGAAATATATGACGACGCTACTAACCAATCTGATTATTTTTTTTTAATTTCATTAGGACACAGAATCTGAGTGGTCGCGTGGCTGCATCAGATGGCATGTGGTCAGCACGTAGCACAGGCCAAACGGAAGAAGGAAGGCCTCGTTGGGGAGATAGAGGAGTGGCCACCGGTAGGTTGTGGGAACCTACTGCGCCGAATGCGAGGCTACCTCAGGTACGTTGTAAATAATATGCGAATTTACTCCCTTCCGAATTCTGAAAGTTATCTTTTTTGACTGTCAAAGAACGTTATTAATCAAGATAAACAATTTTATTCAATTGTGAATTTATGGTTATTAATAGTCATAATTAAAATGATCTAGTTATTTTAGTAAAGTTTGTGCTTTATGCAGATGCCAAATCAAAAGAAAGGTACACCATCGTGGGTAGAACGTGGGTTGAACATGATAGACAATGCATCGGATGCGCTAGTGATCGACCAGGGAAGTTCGACGAACTCTGGATTGGAATGTGATAGATCTTCTTGCAACGGGAGCGAGGAAGGAAAGTATGTATTAATTACTGTATTTCCATTATGAGAGGAGATAGTATCTAAAATTTTATTAAAACGATGTTGTTTCAGAACTTTTCTCAGAGGCCAAAATGTTCCTATGGAGCCAGAAGTTAGGGCTCAGCGTGAAAATAAGCGAATTAAAGCTCTTGAACTGCAATCGGCCATATTGAGTCAACTTGAAGATCGTGAGAAAAGGCGCCAAGAAGAGAGGGAGAGGGAAGTACGTGAAGAGCGCTTGGCAGAGTTACGCATACAAAAACAACAGGAGGAAGACATGCTTAGAATTCAGGAAGAGAAAAGAAAGCATGAAGAAAAACAAATTTTTGAACAAAGAAAACTAGAAGCCTTGAAAAAAGCGCTCGAAGAAGCGGAAAGAAGGGCACGTAATGAAAAAGAAAAAAAATATAAATGTCATAGACAAATAGAAAATATAGCAACATGTAGCGAAGATGTAAAAACTAATATTTGTGATAATGCAACATCTGAGACCATTAACAGCAATTCTCTTATAAGTCCAACCAAAACAAGTAGAACATATGATATAAATTCTCCCAAAAGTCAAAAGAAAGATTGCACTTCGCGGCAATCGACTGCTTTCAACTCGCCCAGATCTCTGGGTGCGAACAATGTTAATTTATTTATACATAATGTACCACCAATTGCCCTGACTGACAATCAGTTCAACATTGTACCCCTTGGAGTTAATGGAAATGGGGAAATTGTGGGCACGCAGCCCAATAGCTTACAACTAGCAGTCTTAGTGCCCCAAAACCTTAGCAATAATTTGTATAGTGTATCAATAAATTCTCTAATAAACCATAATGATTTGACAGAATCATGCAAAACAGTTACGCCACAGAAGTACCGAACGTTGAGAACGAAAGATGCCTGTACACAAACAGAGACGGATTCTTTGAGACACAAAGTGGATAAAAACGTTGAAACAGCCGATATTGAAAGAGACATCGACAAAGACTACGCAAACATTGACGAAAACGCACCACAGGACGGGAGCCGCAATTCTTTAAAAAAAGATCGACGTTTGCGTTCCGAGGAGAGGTACAAGAAAGATTTAGAAAATAGACCTAAATGGGGCGCTAACAAACCAGTGGCGCAATATAAGAAACAAAGTGAGAAGGACCCTTTCTACAGCCAAAAGCGGAAAGTACGTCAGAAGTACCGAACACAAGCAAGACATTACATGTCACATTCGAGCGAAGACAGCCGCTCTCCCAGCCCTCCAACTAGATCGGAAAAGACTACAGAAAATAGTGTTAAATATCGCAATTCTCTTAGTCAGTCGTATTGGAGAAACAAGCGAACTAATCAAGATTATCCTATAAATAATAACGTAGAAAGTTTAAGTACAGTCGTTCCCGAATTTTGTTCCCTCGACCAAATCACGGGGGACAAATCGGACCCGAATAAGTTATCAAAAAGGCTAACGCTATCACAAAAGTTCATAAACGATAAATACGGTAGTAGGAAGCTATGGATGGAGGACGTCAATGAAAGAAATAATAAATACATTAATTTTGACGGCGAAAAGGTAAAAAGAAATAGCGATAGATTATATATTAATAAACGGGATAATACGGGTGATAATGACGACCCAGAAAATTTTATAAAATTGAAACTCTGAATCAAATATTTAATAGAAGAAATAATCATAGTAGCACATTTTTATTTGTAGTTCATCGTGCAATATAACTAAAATAAGATAACCCACTATTATTGATTTAACAGTTTCTAAGGAAAAGACAAAGGAAAAGTTAAATCGATAGCTCAGTTCTTCTTGTGTTGCCGCGTCGCGTACATTTACTGTAGCAATGTCGAAATTAGACGATTTGTTTGATAAGAAGAAGGATGAAGCGCCAATGCTTGATTTGTCTAAGACCATCATTAACACTGCGGAAGAGTATAGAGCCGTTCTGGACAAAGTCCCAGAGTTCAAGACTAGACCCGAGAAGGTTTTTATTGTTCACTAGAATTATAAACATTTGTCACTAAAATAATTCTCTTATTTATAACAATATGTTATTTGTATTTGTCAGGTGAGGGCGGATGATATTAAAATCAAGGACAGGCCAGAGGACACGCGAATAAAAACATCGAAAAAAGAGCTAAGGGCATACGAGAAACTCGGGACCCGCGGATACGAGGATAAGCATTTCACCTTCATGGATCCCGTGCCGGTAGAAATGAGGGGCCTGAAATTTGAAGAATTGTGCGCCGTGCCAATCGAGTGGCGTATGCTCACGTCGATACGGCCGAAATCTAAATTGGATGAAGAATACTTCAACAGGTAAATAGAAGGTATACCTTTTTTTGGTGGGGAAATCTTCGAAAGATACCCTGTCATTAGAATATGACAGGGTTATGTGGGGCTCTTACCCATTAAACCCCCTCGGTGGCAACTTTCTGTACGTTTGGAAGGATCTCCTATGGAATACACCGGTGCCCCTCGGTACTGGGCATGATCACGCCTCGGGGAAGGGTAAACCTTCCCCCATTCAATCGCCATCTTGCAGTAGCTCGAGGTCACTTTGAGCTGATGCCAATCCGTGTCCCGTTTTAAGCGCCTTTTATGACAGGCAGGAGATACCTTAATCCTATTCTATGAGCCCAGGACTACAAATAGTAGTTATACCATTACCTACAAGTGATGAAAAAAAAATTACAATCAAGCGTGATTATATGTTAATTACCGTATTTGTATAAACACCTACATATGTCATCCAGAGGATGTGAATATTGCAGGTTTCCCCTTCTTTCGGCCCTCCCGCACATTTTTTTGTATGACGTAGAAAATCATAGTCAAAAAGTGTACTTTTGAATTTTTTAAAGGGATGATGCAAGAAGAAAATTCAATTGTTTCTTACAGACTAATCGAATTGCGGAAGTCGGAACTAAGAACGAAGGCTCGCGATAAAAGAGAATACGCAAAAAACAACATGGTTAGAAAAACGAAAAATCGTTCGGGCGTGACGGAAACGAGAATATTGTGTTGCTCAGAGTGCGGCGAAGAATATTGTAATGGTAAAGTGCACTTATTATTACCGCTACTTGTTCCACGAATCGTTTATGGAGGAATTTTATTCGTCTTCTGTTACGTTCAATCAAATATTCAAAAAAAAATTATTTTTTAAAACGTCACTTTTTAATTTTAAACTTCCTCGCGTTGATAGCCACTATGAACGGCGCTTGCGTTACAGCGTAAATAGGGAAATATCAAATTTTACGACCGCAACTTTCATGTAAGTAATATCTTACGAATAACGCAATATTACCACAAATCCATGGCGTGTTGGAAGAACTTACAATATTATTTAATACACTGACGGTTGAAATAATTTTGTGGCTGAAAATTGAAATTTAGCGTTAATGAAAAACCACAGAAAAAATTATTCAATTTGATTACGACGTTTTAGACCCTAAATATAGATAGATATTCGTAGAAATACATGCAGCATAGGAGTGTCGCGCTGTGTCCCACAAAATATTTAATAAATTCTGCTCCTTGATATGAATCTCTGCATTAATTAAATAAATAATATCCAAAATCGCACTTCCCCATTGTTCCATAGACATTTTAAAACATATATAGAGACTGAGACAATGCTCATATTCAACCATATTATACATTTTAGGTAACATGTGCAACATAACAAATTACGATATGTTCGCCCGCCTCAAGCTCGAAATCGAACCAAAGGTCGCAAGGCACGTTGCACCAGTTCAGGGCGGTGGAAAATTGAGAAAGCTACGAAGGAAAATAAGGAGGAAGCCCCGCAGTAAGAGCGCAGCTCCACCGTTGCTTCGAAAGGACGCTACCAAAAATTGCGGCACCAGAAGCGACTCGGATCTTTAGAGTCCTCGTCTACCTTGAAAACCTTGGGTTGGCTGTATTTATTCCTTTAATCCAAAATGGCTACTTATTTGCAAGTAGCCATTTTGGATTCGCAAAGTCACGTCGCAAATAACAACACTTCGGCAATGTTACAATACAATAATATGCTTTACGTTTTATAAATTTAGTTCTCAATGCTGGAATGTATGATTGACAATATTCGTTACTTTTAAATATTCTTTTACCATTCGAAAAAAAATAGAGCGTAAAACTTTCTTGAGGTATTGTTATTGCCATGTGGTATTTACTTATCTAACTTGACTTACGTAATTTAATCTTAACATTGTGAAAACAATTGTTAATGTAATATATGGAAAAAAAATATATAACAATAATGATTATATAAGTTAAAAACTATGCAAACCACTAGATTTCGAGAAAAAAACCTAACGGTGGTAAGGCCACGCAGCAGCGTCTGCTGTTGCACGAATGGGCAGGCTCGTTCGGGTAAGTACCACGACCGGCAGAAGACCGGCGTGAAGTGGAAGTATAATACTTTCGCGTTTCATCTGCTGAGTGAGGTAGCCGGAGCTCAGTTTTCAAAAAGGTTGTCAACGCATTTCAAACCCTCGGGTGTAGCAGATGTCCATGGGCGGCGATATTCACTTAACATCAGATGAACCGCCTGCTCGCTTTACAACTTTTAACATAAAAAAAAATTAATTTCATTAAATTGATATCAGCCGTTACTTTGTTTACAATATTCAATAGAGGCTTTGTTTACAAAATAGCTAAGTTTAAAACGTTACGTTTTCACTTTGCTAAAAAGAACAATAATACGCAACATATCCCAAACACAGATTTCTACTTTACGAACACGTGTTATTAAGAATTTCTAATATTTAGATCAAATATCTTGAACATTACATAGCGCCAGTACGAAAAATTCATCAACACTACGCTATTCACATTGAAATATTTGAAATATACCTATATTTTTTAATTTTATATCGATTTTAAAATCGATGACTAATTTATTTAAAAATTTAAATTATTGTCAACTAAACTAAATTAAGTTAAACATCTAGTTATCTCTAATTGGGTAGACTCTTTAGGTGTACATATTTATGTGTCAAGGAGCCATGTTCGACCTAGGTTATTAGTGGGCAAGGTTATGTTCAAAATGATTCACAGATCCGACACACAGCACCCCAATTCCATGTGGTCTTGTGTCCCTACCCCTAGAGTGAATACAAAAATGCGGAGCTAGAAGCTCGCGCCGGATTTCTTGAGTGAAGAAAGCCCGCGAAGCCAAGTCGAGCGAAGATCGGAGTGGGTGAAGCGACACTCAGAGGCAACATAGCAAAAGTTCTGGCTAGAGCGCATAAAAGAGTCAAGTATTTTTATTAAGTTGTATTAATAAAATAGCGGACTTTGTTAGTGAAAATAACAATTATTCTTTTCTATTACAAGTGTTTTCATGCGTTTTAACTTATATACAGCGTGTCTTTACAATCGCGACAATAAATGAACACACATAAAGGGGATAAATTTTTAAAATTGTACTAAACATTTACATTCTTTAAACATCAATATTTACAGAGTTATAAAATTATCCAAAACAAAGAATTTTAGAACACCCTTACCTATAAAACTGTAGCATAAAGTTCATTTGTAAAGTTCACAAAGCATATGAATGGGTTGAATGAATTTAAAAGAAACAAAACATACTGTTAGAAGGAGAGGCTTGTAATATGACCCTGTGGTGCGAGTTGTATAGAATGTTACAAATTTTGTTTCTTTTTTACTTAATTAGTTTGTTTGAAAATTTTTTTTTTTTTATTATGTATTTTGTTTAACGTTAATATTTTTTTATGATTATTGGCAAGTAGCGTTAGACGTGTGTTCATTTATTGTCGCGATGGTAACCACACGCTGTATACAGCGTGTCTTTACAATCACGACAATAAATGAACACACATATAGAGGATAACTTTTTAAAATTGTATTAAAAATGTACATTCTTTAAACATCAATATTTACCGAGTTATTGAATTTTCCAAAACAAAAAATTTTGGAACACCCTTACCTATAAAAGCGTAACGTAAAGTTCATTTGTAAAGGTCACAAAGCATATGAATGGGTTGAATGAATTTAAAAGAGACAAAACATACTGTTAGAAGGAGAGGCTTGTAATGCGACGCTGGGGCAACGAATGAAAAAGTCTCTGAATGTATGAATCAGTAGTTGTATAAGTATTACAAACTTTGTTTGTTTTTTACTTAATTAGTTTGAAAAATATTTTTTTTAATTACGGAATTTTTTAACGGTAATATTTTTTATGATTATTAGCAAGTAGCGTTAGACATGTGTTCATTTATTGTTGCGATGGTAACGACACGCTGTATAACATCAGTGACTTTTAAAAATTACATACGTGAAAATGTAATTTTTTACTGTTTGAATCATGTCAAGGAAAGTATCCATTTAGTATTTTTTAACACTTAAAAGATATGCACATACGCATACCAAGTAAAATTACATTGTAGTTATAGTTATAAGTAATTTGATGTGAAATTTTAAATTGATGTTAAATAATTTAGGGGGCGTCCATAAATTACATGAGGTGTTTAAGGGGGGGAGGGGGTCGAGTCAAATCTCATCTAATCTTACGTTGGAGAGAGGGGGGGTCTCGGCAAATATCACGCAATTTTTTTTCTGATAGAAACAAAAAAAAAATTATACTATTTTGGTCCATTTAATCCAGATTGTACATGCTTAAGATTTAATCTTGAGCGTAATCGCGTAATACGATTAAGATCATTCGATAATTCGTTCGAAAGAAAATAATTTCTTGAGAACGTGCATGATTCTCCATGGATTGAATTAGAGTCGATATTCTTTTTTTAATCACAGTAGTTACGATTTAAGTATTCTATTGTTAAATTTTTATTACACTTATAATTAAACTCTCAGCAATATTGAATACTAGTCTTAACTAGTCGTAAATAAAAGCACGAAGCAATTTTTTTTTCTTTTAACGATAACAATCCAACGCGTTTACGTAAGAAACCCACATTTTGAAAAATCTCACGTGAGATTGGGGGATGGGGGAGGGGGTTGAATATAATCTCACTACATCTCACCAGGGGGGGGAGGGACAGAAAATTAAACACCTCACGTCATTATGGACGCCCCCTTACGACAGAAAAATACTAAACGACATTCACGAGTCTAGTCTATATGTATTTAAGCTTTTTATATTTTATTCTTGTGTATTTTGTACGGTAACTAATTTTGTACTTGAATAAATGACTACAAAAAGTTTCTTGTTCTTTGTGCTTCGTTTTAATATGTAAAAAATGCCGAAGATTGATTTAAAATTTAGTAACTATTCTTTAGTAACTATATGGTTCCGTATTAACGTATTACGTTTTACAAGTGACAATCTCAATAATAAAACTTGGTTAGTTATAAGTTTTTCTGTCTGTTTCCTCAGGATTTTTTAAAACCTAATTGGTGTAGTGATCCCTGTCTCTTGCGTCAAAACGTCCCTCTCGTCACAACGATCCCACTGAAAAAATATTGTGTGATGAACGTAGTGTTTTTTCTAGAGCCTAGGTACATAGTATAGTTTAGGTAGAAAACTAAGTCTTATTATGTTTATCAGTTACCTATTATAGTACAAGCTTTGCTTAGTTTGGGACAACAAAGCGTTGTGTAAAAATTTGTACATATGTCCCAAAATGTTTATGTGAAAACTTTGCAAGGCAGCTGATAGGATCACTTTATATCAAAATCAAATCAAAAATATATTTATTCAAATAGACGCTTGCGCGCTCTTATGAATCGTCAAATTTTACATCAAAGATTCGTTCGTAAGGTACCACCGGTTCGGAAAGCGGTTTCTGTTGAGAAGAGAACGGCAAGAAACTCAACAGTTGCTCTTTTTCAAAAATATCAGGGTACAATATAATATACAGGTATTACAGGTATAATAGTCTTATTCTAGCCTACGTGAGTATCAACAGTATTAACAGCACACATTGGCGTCGTCGAGATATTCCGAAATGGTATAATATGCTTTCATCATCAGCTGATTTTTAATTTTACATTTAAATTGGTCAAGCGGCAGACTTAATATCGACTGTGGGATTTTATTATACATGCGCACACTTTGCCCCATGAACGACTTATTTACTTTTTGAGACGAAACAATGGCGTAGTAAGTTTGTCCTTATTTCTAGTGTTTATTTTATGTCTGTCACTATTCTTTAGGTAATAATTAAGGTTATGACGTATATAAAAAACATTACAATAAATGTATTGAGAAGCAACAGTGAGTATATTAACCTCTTTGAAAAGATCTCTGAGTGAATTCCGGGCTCCGATATTGTAGATTGCTCGGACAGCTCTTTTATATTAAGTGTTTACAGCACGTGAACATAAACACCAGATGTGTTGCAGATGCGTTGCCGACCTTTAAAACAGAGGGAAATATAAAACAAGTAGACACGGAATGAGATATTCCTAGGTGTAGGTAGGTACGTTCGGTAAACATCTTTAAGTGCATTCGATTGCTCAATAGTCGATATTTAGGTCTCTACCGAGCATCGAATGTGAGCGGGGAACTGACCCTGTAAGTCAACGTTTAATTGGTTGCGCGGAAGAAGACACGCGCTAACTTTTCTCATAATTTTCCACTATTTTGCTCAAGTTGTTCATCGGTCACTGTGTTTATTGTTGTGTGCAAATATCGGAACGTACTTCCGACTAATACAAAAGCAAGCGATACGGGAAATCTATATGGGCTTGTGTCCCCGTGAGTTACTATGGCATCTTTTTAAGGCGCTGTATGCAATAAGAATAGGTTTTTCAAAAGATTTTTTAACAAAATCTACACATTTTATAGCAGCAAAAAATATATGTTAATCTTGATCGTACATTCTAATCGAACATTGTTTCCAAAACACATTCTCGATATATTTTCTCTATATAAAAACATCATGAAACTACCT